CTGGTTCATTAACGTCCTTTAGGGAATGAAACTGCCATCCTTACCTGGTCTGACCTACATGTGACTCCAGACCCACAGCATGGTTGACTCTTAACTGCCTTCTGGGCAATTAGGGATGTGCAATAAATGCTGCCTAGCCAGTGACGCCCTCATCCCGTGAAAGAATAAAGAAAAAAAATTAAGAATTCAGCTCCCTCGAAGCCTTTAACATAATAACTACCAAAGTTAATGTTGGAGAAGTTGAAATCCCCTACTATCACTAACCTACTACTTTTACACTTCCCTGAAATTTGCTCTTCTGTTTCTCTTGGACTCGTGGGTGACCTATAGTATGTCCCCAGCAATGTGATTGCTCTTTTTTGGTTTATTAGTTCTCCCTATATGGTTTTGTTGAAGGGGTCTTCTAAAATGTCATGCCTTCTTACTGATATAATTGATTCCCTGATCAAAATTGCAACAGCTCCCTCTCTTTTACCTCCTTCCCTATCTCACTTGAAGACCCTGTATCCAGGAACATTGAGCTGCCAATCCTGCCCCTCTCTCAACCACGACATCATAGCCCCATGTTCTAATTTGTGCCCTCAATTCATCTGCCTTGTTTGTCAGATTCCTTGCATTAATATAAATATTTGACTTTGCCAAACTTCCTTGTGCCTTAACTGGTCTATAGTGTCTGTGCCTTCCTGACCCACTTGCTTTTACTTCTAGTTTTGGCAATTCATCTTCCCATGCTGAATGTTCTGTCTGGATCCCACCTGGCTGCCAAGTTAGTTTACACCCTCCACAACAGCACTAGCAAATCTCCACATAAGGATGCTGGTCCTATTCTAGTTCAGGTGCAACCCATCTGCCTCGTACAGGTCCAACCATCCTCCAAAATAGTTCCAGTGTCCCAGAAATCTAAAGTCCTCCCTCCTGCAGCATCTCTCCAGCCATTTGGCTGCCACTGCTTTCCCCTGCAAAATCATATCCTTAACAGGATACAAAAACAGTCAATCTGTTAGAAAGCGGGATGGCCAAAGGATACTCCAGCACTACTTGCCTTCTACTGTGCCTGGTGGTTGCTCTTGTTTTTTCTGTCTGTTCAATCTGCACCTGCGGAATGAACTTGCTATCCATGATTTGCTCAGCAACACTGATGCTCCGCAGTGAATTTGTCAGATCATCAGAATTCATAAGGATTATCAGATCACCATGATCTCATCAAATAGCAGAGTGGATTCGATGGACTGAGTAGCCTACTTCTCCTAGATCTTATGATCTCCATCAGGTCATGGCAGTGGCAGGGAAACATGGCCTTGTTTGCAACAGTAAATATGTCAGATTAATATATCATGAGCCAAATTAATTTGTTTGGGTCAATCTACCCATCAATTGATATTGTACCTAATCCTGCCAAAATAGATGATGTACGGAAAATGCCTACATCACAAAACAATTTCATCTTTTTATATCCATATATTCTGAATTTTATGACCAATGTCTCTCCTCTTTGAGCTCTTCACACACCATATACATGACAGGAAGATCGCCAACATATTTTTCAGTGTCTCAAAAACGCTTTATCATGCAGCAAGTATGTACTTTAATATAATGATCCCCACAAGCTTACCACATTGAAATTAGATGCAAGCATATTGTATTTGATCCCAAGGGCTTCAGGCAGGCTCAGTACAGCAACACTAAAAGGAAAACTCTTGCTTTAGTTTTTGGAACACAACTATTTTACACGTATCTGTTCAACAAGCTTGTGAATATACAGTGGTACAATTTAGAAACACATAACCAAATAGACTCCAGAATGATCATTTCCAGTACTTTTAGCTGACTTTCAAATCCCGTTAAGAACAACAATATTCCTTTAGATCAACAAGTGGGTATTATTGAATCCATGTATGAGCAAATGAACAAGGAGGAGTAGAAGGCCATTTAGCCCTTCAAGCCTGCTCAGTCATTTAATAAACTCATGGCTGAACTGTTTGTTGAATTGGCATGTGAAGAAAGACTAGATCCGTTAGGGTTATGTTGACTGGAATTTAGAAGAACGAGAGGGGAATCTCCTAGGAGCTCAAAACATTCTAAGAGGACTAGACAGGGGAAATGCAAGAAGGATTTTCCCAGTAACTGGGGAGTGCAAAAACAGGGGTCACATCTAAGGATATGGGTAAGCCATTTAGAACTGAGATAAGGAGAAATTTCTTCACTCAGAGAGAGAAGAACCTATAGAATTCTCTGTCAAAGAAAGCAGTTGAGGCCAATATGTTGAAAGTTTTCAAGAGGTTGTTAGATATAGTTCTTGGGGCTGAAGGGATCAAAGGGCATGGTGAGAAAGCGGGAGCAAGGTAATGAATTGGATGATCAGCCGTGATCCTATTAAATGGTAGAGCAGTCTCCAAGAGCCGAATGGCATACTTCTGTGTGCATGTACACCGATCCCTTAATGTAGTAGAACAGGTAGTTTAAGTGTTTAGGAACGCATATTAGCTGAGGTTTAGAGTTAAAGAGCAGGGAGGTTCAGTTGGAACTGGATAAAACTTTGGTTAGGCCACAGCTAAAGTAGTGTGTGAAATTTTAAATCCACATTATAGGAGGAATGTGATATGTGGAGAGGCTTTGGAGGAAATTTATTATGATGTTGCCTGGGCTGGAGAATTTTTGTTATAACAGAAGTTAGATAGACTGGAGTTATTTTCCTTGGAGCAGAGGAGACTGAGGAAGGCGGAGACATGATTAAGATGTGTAAAATTATGAGGGGTGTAGACTGGATAGACAGGAGTGAACATTTCCCTGTGGTGGAGGGGTCAGTATCTAGGGGGCATAGATTTAAGGTAAGGGGCAGGATGTTCAGAGGGGATGAGAGGAAAATGTTTTTCACTCAGAAGGTGGTGAGAATCTGGAAATGAATGCCTGTAAGGGTGGTAGAGGAATAAACCCTCAAAATGTAAGAAGTATTTAGTTGCGCATTTGCGATGCCAAGGAGTACAAGGCTATTGTGGATTAGAATAGTTAGGTGGTGGTTTTTGACTGGCACAAACTCGATGGGCTGAAGGGCCTTTTTCTGTGCTGCATGAGACCCGTCATGTTGGCCAAGACATTCTCTTACTACATTGAGAATGTATCTATATGCATCATTGTATGTGTCTATTGGAATGGGGTTCCTATTCTTTAAAGGAAGAGGCAGATGTTGCATCATTGCACAGATCCCAGACCAGACAGGCATCATACCTTTAAGACAGATGACATGATATGTAATGTTGCAGTATAAAGCTACCCCTCCTCACCTTCATTGTCAGGAGTAACAGTAGGAGCAGCACTAAAGGTAGTAATCATAAGAACCTGATTGCAAGTACTTTATTTTTCCTATGTGCAGTCAGTAAACACAACCCAGTAAATTGAAATTTATGTTTAGTTATTTATATTTATTACAGCAGTGCAAGTAGTTGGTGTTGTTAATAACCTTCAAGAAATCTGTATCAATAAGAACTGAGTCTTTGTGGTTAATAAGGACTAATATGTAAGGAATACTCGGACCATATCATACTGCCAATGACGTTTTACCCAGAAACCACATCATTTGCCTAGCAACAGTGGTTCTGTGGCACACAGAGACAGAATCAGTGTAATTGCGCACGCCAGAAAGTAGAGTATATTAAACTCTCTCGCAAGAAATCCTACAAGACTGCTGGGAATTGAATTTAGGGAACTAATGTGTTTACTCTGAAGTGAATGTTATTATGAGTTTAGTTTGCAGTTCATTTTTGACGTGTTGGAGAAATAGCCATTGAAGGAGCACCGAGTGAACACACTGAAATTCACTGGAAGGAAACCAGCTGCAACTATGTCAGCTTTAGTAAGAAGCCTTGATGTGGAGACTGTGGTAAATCTTCACTGGGGTTTTAATGTTTGTGAGGATATTGCTATGATATAAGGAACACTGAGAGTTTGAATCTTATTTTTTCTGTTGTTTGTAATGAAGTCTTTTCAACCCTTTTGTCCACAGTAATATAATCCATGATTTTGTTATTGAATAATGAATTGCTCTTTGTGTTAATGTATAGTGGCAGACTCTTGTGAATGCAGTAACTGGCTTCCACAGCTTTATAAAAAGGAAATAACATTAGAGTTTAGGTTTCACTCTGGGATCCGACATGTTACAACATTAACATCAATTGGGATGATAGCCTATGGAGGCAGTTGCATTCTTTCACTTCTATAAGGTATTTGCTGCACAATGGGTGTGAAAGTTGGCAGGGCTTGGGTGAACTGCTCCAGTGCAAGAAACGGACAATTGTTAAGTATTTTTTTATTAAAAAAACTGAATGATAGGGCCAAAGCAGAACAGATGTGTGTAAACATTTCCACAAATATTTCTTCTCATGTCCTGAAAGACTCCTCTACCAACTTCTGAACATGGATCTGATACTGACTTAGGAATTCAATATTTCATGGATACAAATGGAAGGAAGGCCATTTTACACTCATTTAGATGAAGTTTCAAACCACTCCTTGATTCCCAGGCACCATCAATTAGAATTAATGGAAACTTGCCCACTGGCCTCTGGTCCAGGCCTATTGATTGCAACTTTACCCAACAGAACTATCTAGTATGATATGTTTGTCTGTTCAACATACCATTTTTGTGGATGGAGAGGAATAGAGTGCAGATTGAGGTTGACTCAACATGCTTTCATTCAGACACATGATCAGTAGAACAAGTGTAAATATTGTGAATGTACAGTGCCATCTGTGTTGTAGCTATTATTTAAATAATCCACTTGGAAAAGTTTGCGGAGTTAATAATTAAAGAATTCAGTACATACACTTCAGTAAATTCCATCTTTTATGCCAACTTTCACATTTTGTTCAACATGATTTGAGCATAATAATTAGTATGTATTGGCCCCTTGATGTCCAAAGGGTTATTAAATACATTTGTTTTATTAGAATCCATGAAAAGATTAAAATTAGTGGTAAGTTAAATCATGCAATTTACTTAACAGGCCAGCTGGAAGTTATATTGGATCGCAGACTGATGCAAGACGATAACCGTGGACTTGGCCAAGGTCTCAAGGACAATAAAGTTACAGCCAATTTGTTCAGAGTTTTGTTGGAGAAACGAATTGGAGTAGATGTGGTAAGACTAATTATGCAATGCCAGTATTTATTTTCTAAGTAAGACAAACTAAGAACTAAGTATTATTGGAAACATCTTTTTTTAATTTAAAGCCAATTAGAAATAATAGAATCAAATACATATATTTAAATCATTAAATTTCATGATTTTTATGGTTGTACATCTTATAATGATGGGTAAATTACTGCAGGGATTGAAGGAGAAACCATTTCAGAACTAGCCAACATAGAAATTGAGTTGGAAAAGAATGGTGTGGTTGTACATGTTGAAAGTTACATGGACCACCTGGAAGAGAATAAGTGATCATGCAATCTTTTCACCTCACAGAAAATGTTATCCATCATTTTGGTTCATAGCTCTTTAATACTGAGGGGGAGTCAGAAGTTTGATTGAAAGAATTCAGAGAGTAAATTGTAAGAGGGGTGGGCACCAATCTGACTTCCATCTATTTTTAGGTCTCAGAGAGCTGGCATTTATTGTCCAGTTCCCAATTTGTCCTTGAAATGATGGTAGTGAGCCACTTTTCTCAATCCCTGTAACCCACGTGCTTCAGGAAATGATAAGGAGGGCATAACAGAACAATAATATAGTCCCAAATTGGAATTGTGTAAACCGTGGAGGGTTGCTTGCAGTTGGCCATATTGCATTACATCTTGTCCTCTGTTGAACTTAAGAAAGGGAAGAAATCAGCACAGTTTTAAAATAAAGGGTCTCTAATTTCAGGTGAAGATGCGGAGGGGAATTATTTTCTGTCAGAAGTTTGAGAGTGTCTGGAACTCTCTTCCTCAGAGAATGGTGGAGGCGAAGTCATTGAATACTTTCAAGGCAGATATGGATATATTCATGGCTAATAAGAGAATCAGTGGTTATCAAGATTAGATAGGCATATGGAATTGAGACCACAATCAGATCAGAATGATATATGGAAGTGATCTGAGATCGTTCCATGTGATCAACCTGATGGAGTAGCAAGGTCACACGAGGTGTCAAGGTGAATGAGGTGGCAATGAATATGCGTTAGAGAGTTTAGACAAAGATTAAAGCAAGATAGAAGGGCTTTGAACTGAAGAGAGAAAGCCCAATGAATTGTGATGGAGATTGTTTATCCTCAGTGATTTCAATCACTTGGTGCAAAGGCTGAAGAAGGAAAGGAGTGAAGATATTTTGTTGAAATATTATTATGGTATTCGGGTATTTATGGCAGAAAATGAAGATTTTAAATATGAGGTGAGAGGAATGGAACATAGTGAAAAGTGTAAACAAGAAGAAAGTTCCAGAAGAAATAGGGACAGGCCAAGCTATAATTTGGTAATGAGTGCAGCATTGCCACTGTAATAGACTGGGAGACATGAGTTGAAGAATGTATAGCCAGGTGGGAATGCTTCTTTTAGGGGAAGTTGTCGTTACTCCTTAGGCAGATTTCCATCAAGATCGTGCGCTTTATCCACGTGTGAAAGATGTACATTTTTTAGTATCTTCAATTCAATTTGTTGAAGCAATCTTTACATATAGTTAAAGCCTTGTGCTTAATGTGCCTACGCTACATTTAGATGAAAATATGAATTAGTAAAATTGAGTCAATCAATTTCATTCCTTTCATCAATCTCATTTCCTCTTATTAAGTTTGAAATAATAAGGTTATATTTTGAAAAATCATTTAAGATGCTGTTTGACTGTATTTCCACTTCTTTGATTTAATTTTTAAAAAATGTCCTTTTCTCCTTTTTGTATTGACTTTATATTTAGTTACCTATTTTGCAATTAACACAATAAATCATCTTCTTTAAATCTCACCAAACAATAATGCTACAAACAAGAAAGTGTAAACCAAACTAAGTAACAGAAGAGCTCAGGAATCTTAATTTACTTGAATATATATAATACTGCATAATGTTGTGGGTTTCTGCTATGCTAAAGCTTCCCTTTTGATCGTAGCTACAATTTATTTGCACTTGAATTTCTGAAAGGGTCTCCTGATTCGCTTGAGTACCTTTGCAGCAGATACATGGAACCCCTTGAAAAATGGTATAAGCAGCTTTTTAGATATTTGCACAGTTTCTCTTCTTTTCAATTCATTCATGGGATGTGGGCATCGCTGGATAGACCAGTGTTTTTTGCCCATCCCTCATTTTCCCTCAGTGGCTGGCCAGGGCATGTCAGAGAGCAGTTAAGAGTCAGCCACATTACTGTAGGTCTGGAATCACATGCAGGCCAGATCAGGTACGGATGGCAAATTTCCTTCCCTAAAGGGAAATTGTGAACCAGTTAAGTTTTTAAGACAGTTTCTCTAAGATAAAGGCCAGCTTTTAATTGTAGATTTCGATTAAAGCTGCCATGATGTAATTCAAATCCATGTCCCCAGAACATTAGCCTAGGAATCTAGATTACTTGACCAGTGACATGAACACAATACCCCTGCCTCCCCTAGTGTTTGCTGATCTATAGCCTGAGAATTTCGAATTCCAAGTAAATATTCCATGCACATATGTAAATACAGTGATGTTCCTTTTATTTTGCTTGTTGAGATTGTGGCTCGAATATGGTGTTCATTTTTTCATACGATGCATTTTTTTTTAAGCATGATGAAAGTAATAAGGCAGTGAATTATCGTTCCTTGTTGAGCCACAAAATATGTTCCTACCTGAATCATCCAATATTTCCAATGGTTGTGAACCTGAATGTTGATGAAGTTCCTCCACTACTGAACCTATACAGTCCTCTTATGTCATCCATGCCATGTGATATGCATATACTTAACCTGAGAACTATAGAAGGAAAGGTAAGGCTGATGTTTTTAATATACTTCAAAGCACTGATAATATTTGAATGATGAATTTTTTTTTGGTATCCAGAGTGCATCCATAGAAAACTCATTTACAAGCACCTGCAACAACAATACCTGTGCTACATAGCATATTTATGAGAGGAAAATATGAAACAATTGCTTGATGATAAAGACTTTATTATTGCTGAAAAGAATAATAAACTGAATCCTGAGAAATTTGTTCAAGTCAGAGAAGTAACACTTTCATACGGGATGATAATATTATTGAACTGAGTCAAAGCACGAATATTGCTAAAACGTTGCCAAAGCTTTTGATTTTGCTGTCATCAGGACAAATAGAAAAATACAAATTTCAAATGATATTGTTTGGCAAGTCAACTTTAAACATTGCCTTGGAGAAAGCAGTGGGGAATTATGGGTTCCCCAAACTTTTGGGAAGTTCAGAAAATGTGCAAGGCTTGAGCATATTTTCATAACTACGAGGGGATGACCTGCCAGGGGAAAGCCATAGCGGCCAGGTATCTAGCTCTGAGCATGTCTCTGTGGCTCAGAAGGGAATGGGGGAGAATAGGAGAGTGATAGTGATAGGAGATTCAATGGTTAGGGGAATAGACAGGAGATTCTGTGGCCCCGAGCGAGACTCCCGGATGGTATGCTGCCTCCCGGATGCCAGGGTCAGGGATGTCTCGGATCGAGTCTACAGGATTCTTAAGGGGGAGGGTGAGCAGCCAGAAGTCGTGGTACACATTGGTACCAGTGACATAACTAGGAAAAGGCATGAGGTCCTTAAAAGTGAATATAGGGAGTTAGGTTGGAAGCTCAAAGGCAGGACGAGCAGAGTAGTAATCTCAGGATTACTACTGGTGCCATGGGCTAGTGAGGCTAGTAATAGAGAGCAAAGTGCAGCTGAACACGTGGCTACAGAGCTGGTGTAGGAGGGAGGGCTTCAGATATGTGGATCATTGGGATGCCTTCTGGGGAAGATGGGACCTGTACAAGAAGGACAGGTTGAACCTGAACTGGAGGGGCGCCAATATCCTGGGTGGGAGGTTTGCTAGAGCTCTTCGGGAGGGTTTAAACTAGTTTGGCAGGGGGATGGGAACCGAAGATACGGATCAGAGGATGGGGTAGCTGGTATACAGGCAGATAGAGCATGCAGAGAGTCTGTGAGGAAGGATAGACGATTGATAGGGCAAAGTTGCAGTCAGTGCGACGGGTTGAAGTGTGTCTGTTTTAACGCAAGAAGTGTCAGGAATAAGAGTGACGAACTTAGAGCATGGATCAGTACTTGGATGTACTATGATGTTGTGGCCATTATGGAGACATGGATAACACAGGGGCAGGAATGGTTGTTGGATGTTCCGGGGTTTAGATGTTTCAAAAGAAATATGGAGGCAGGTAAAAGAGGTGGGGGAGTGGCATTGTTAACCAGGGATGGTATTATAGCTGCAGAAACGGAGGTTGTCGAGGAAGGTTTGTCTACTGAGTCAGTATGCATGGAAGTAAGAAACAGGAAAGGAGCAGTCACTTTATTGGGAGTTTTCTATAGACCACCCCAATAGCAACAACTGAGGAACAGATTGGGAGGCAGATTTTGGGAAGGTGCAGAGTAACAGGGCTGTTGTCATGGATGACTTCAACTTTCCTAATATTGACAGGAACCTCCTAAGTGCAAACAGTTTGGATGGAGCAGATTTTGTCAGGTGTGTCCAGGAAGGATTTCTGACTCAATATGTAGATAGGCCGACTAGATGGGAGGCCATATTGGATTTGGTGCTTGGCAATGATCCAGGCCAGGTGTCCGATCTCTCGGTGGGAGAGCATTTCAATGATAGTGATCACAACTCCCTGACCTTTATGGTAGTCACGGAGAGGGGTAGGAGCAGACAGTATGGGAAAGTATTTAATTGGGGGAGGGGGAATTACAATGCTATTAGGCAAGAACTACGGAGCGTAAATTGGGAATGGATGTTCTCAGGAAAATGCACGACAGAAATGTGGAGGTTGTTTAGGGAGCACTTGCTACGAGTGCTGGATAGGTTTGTCCCACTGAGGCAAGGAAGGGATGGTAAGGTGAAGGAACCTTGGATGACAAGACATGTGGAACATCTAGTCAAGAGAAAGAAGGAAGCTTACTTAAGGGATGGTGCAGGAGGGACGGATTCAGATACCTGGATAATTGGGGCTCATTCTGGGGTAGGTGGGACCTCTACAAACGGGATGGTCTACACCTGAACCAGAGGGGTACCAATATCCTGGGGGGGAAATTTGCTAATGCTCTTCGGGAGGGTTTAAACTAATTCAACAGGGGGGTGGGAACCTGAATTGTAGCTTCAGTGTACAGGAGGTTGAGAGTAGTGAGGTCATAAACAAGGTTTCAAGGTTGCAGGAGTGTACCGGCAGGCAGGAAGGTGGTTTGAAGTGTGTCTACTTCAATGCCAGGAGCATCCGGAATAAGGTGGGTGAACTTGCAGCATGGTTTGGTACCTGGGACTTCGATGTTGTGGCCATTTCGGAGACATGGATAGAGCAGGGACAGGAATGGTTGTTGCAGGTTCCGGGGTTTAGATGTTTCAGTAAGATCAGGGAAGGTGGTAAAAGAGGGGGAGGTGTGGCATTGTTAGTCAAGGACAGTATTACGGTGGCAGAAAGGACGTTTGATGACAACTCGTCTACTGAGGTAGTATGGGCTGAGGTTAGAACCAGGAAAGGAGAGGTCACCCTGTTGGGAGTTTTCTATAGGCCTCCGAAAAGTTCCAGAGATGTAGGGGAAAAGATTGCAAAGATGATTCTGGATAGGAGCAAAAGTAACAGGGTAGTTGTTATGGGGGACTTTAACTTTCCAAATATTGACTGGAAACACTATAGTTCGAGTACTTCAGATGGGTCAGTTTTTGTCCAATGTGTGCAGGAGGGTTTCCTGACACAGTATGTAGATAGGCCAACAAGAGGCGAGGCCACATTGGATTTGGTACTGGGTAATGAACCAGGCCAGGTGTTAGATTTGGAGGTAGGAGAGCACTTTGGTGATAGTGACCACAATTCGGTTACGTTTACTTTAGCGATGGAAAGGGATCGGTATATAAAGCAGGGCAAGAGTTATAGCTGGGGGAAAGGCAACTATGAGGCGATGAGGCAAGATTTAGGATGCATAGGATGGAGAAGGAAACTGCAGGGGCTGGGCACAATTGAAATGTGGAGCTTGTTTAAGGAACAGCTACTGCGTGTCCTTGAGAAGTATGTACCTGTCAGGCAGGGAGGAAGTGGTCGAGCGAGGGAACCGTGGTTTACAAGAGAAGTTGAATTTCTTGTCAAGAGGAAGAAGGAGGCTTATGTAGAGATGAGGCGTGAAGGCTCAGTGAGGGCGCTTGAGAGTTACAAGTTAGCCAGGAAGGACCTAAAGAGAGAGCTAAGAAGAGCCAGGAGGGGACATGAGAAGTCTTTAGCAGGTAGGATCAAGGAAAATCCTAAAGCTTTCTATAGGTATGTCAGGAATAAAAGAGTGACTAGAGTAAGATTGGGGCCGGTCAAGGACAGTAGTGGGAAGTTGTGCGTGGAGTCCGAAGAGATAGGAGAGGCGCTACATGAATATTTTTCGTCAGTATTCACACAGGAAAAAGACAATGTAGTCGAGGAGAATACTGAGATACAGTCTATTAGACTAGACGGGATTGAGGTTCATAAGGAGGAGGTGTTAGCAATTCTGGAAGGTGTGAAAATAGATAAGTCCCCTGGGCCGGATGGGATTTATCCTAGGATTCTCTGGGAAGCTAGAGAGGAGATTGCAGAGCCTTTGGCTTTGATATTTATGTCGTCATTGTCTTCAGGAATAGTGCCAGAAGACTGGAGACTAGCAAATGTTGTCCCCTTGTTCAAGAAGGGGAGTAGAGACAACCCTGGTAATTATAGACCAGTGAGCCTTACTTCGGTTGTGGGTAAAGTGTTGGAAAGGATTATAAGAGATAGGATTTATAATCATCTAGAAAGGAATAATTTGATTAGGGATAGTCAATACGGTTTTGTGAAGGGTAGGTCGTGCCTCACAAACCTTATTGAGTTCTTTGAGAAGGTGACCAAACAGGTGGATGAGGGTAAAGCGGTTGATGTGGTGTATTTGGATTTCAGTAAAGCGTTTGATAAGGTTCCCCATGGTAGGCTATTGCAGAAAATACGGAGGCATGGGATTGAGGGTGATTTAGCGGTTTGGATCAGAAATTGGCTATCTGTAAGAAGACAGAGGGTGGTGGTTGATGGGAAATGTTCATCCTGGAGTTCAGTTACTAGTGGTGTACCTCAAGGATCTGTTTTGGGGCCACTGCTGTTTGTCATTTTTATAAATGACCTGGATGAGGGCGTAGAAGGATGGGTTAGTAAATTTGCGGATGACACCAAAGTTGGTGGAGTTGTGGATAGTGTAGAAGGATGTTGTAGGTTACAGAGGGACATAGATAAGCTGCAGAGCTGGGCTGAGAGGTGGCAAATGGAGTTTAATGTGGAAAAGTGTGAGGTGATTCACTTTGGAAGGAGTAACAGGAATACAGAGTACTGGGCTAATGGTAAGATTCTTGGTAGTGTAGATGAGCAGAAAGATCTCGGTGTCCATGTGCATAGATCACTGAAAGTTGCCACCCAGGTTGATAGCGTTGTTAAGAAGGCGTACAGTATGTTAGGTTTTATTGGTAGAGGGATTGAGTTTTGGAGCCATGAGGTCATGTTGCAGCTGTACAAAACTCTGGTGCGGCCGCACTTGGAGTATTGCGTACAGTTCTGGTCACCGCATTATAGGAAGGATGCGGAAGCATTGGAAAGGGTGCAGAGGAGATTTACCAGGATGTTGCCTGGTATGGAGGGAAGGTCTTATGAGGAAAGGTTGAGGGTTTTGAGGCTGTTTTCGTTAGAGAGAAGGAGGTTAAGAGGTGACTTGATAGAGACATACAAGATGATCAGAGGATTAGATAGGGTGGACAGTGGGAGCCTTTTTCCTCGGATGGTGA